AAGGCTGAGTCAACCCTGAGCCGGTGAGATTTGAACCGCTGAACTGCAGATAACAGTCAGCTGAAGTGGCCTGCAGTACAGCACTCTAACCACTGAGCCACGTCGGCTCTTTAGACCTATCCAGTTCCTGCAACCGTTCATCATATGTTTTAGCTTCCAGTCCCTTAATCCTCTTTGTTGCTCTTCTATGCACTCTTTCTAGAGTCTTCACTAATCTGTTCCTTTGTCGGTCGGTTTGTTTCAGAAAAGAAGAAAACAGGACTGTTCGAACAGATCACCAAAACTCACGGGACGGTCATTGGAATTACTTCCGGGATCGTCTTGGTCCTCCTCATCATTTCCATCCTGGTGCAGATCAAGCAGCCTCGGAAGAAAGTCATGAGCTGTAAGACCACTTTCAACAAGACCGGCTTCCAGGAGGTTTTCGACCCTCCCCACTACGAGCTCTTCTCCCTGAGGGACAAAGAGATTTCGGCCGATTTGGCTGACCTCTCCGAGGAACTGGAGAACTACCAGAAAATGAGGCGCTCCTCCACCGCCTCGCGGTGCATTCACGACCATCACTGCGGCTCGCAAGCCGCCACCGCCGCCAAGCAAAGCAGGACCAACCTCAGTTCCATGGAACTCCCTTTCCACAACGATTTCGCCCCTCCGCAGCCGATGAAAACCTTCAACAGCACCTTCAAGAAAAGCAGCTACACCTTCAAGCAGGCTCACGAATGTCCCGAGCAGGTGATCGAAGACCGGGTGATGGAGGAGATCCCGTGCGAAATCTACGTCCGGGGGCGCGAAGAGGCGGCTCAGGGTACCTTATCAATGGATTTTTAACCTCCTCACAAAGCAGGAACCCGGGAGGCGTGTGAATAGATGTACATATATATATATATACAGACGAACAAAACACGCCTGTGTACAAAGGTGTACCATACGGGGCGGGGGGGGGATTTGAACGGAGACCTACAAATTCATACTTTTTTAAAAGCTCGTTCGGTTTTGTTTCGTTTTTTTTTCCCCCAAGCCCGAAAGGATTCTGTAAATCTTTTTTTCTCCTTTTCTTTGGAATTGCCCAACTGGTGAAAGGAACAACCAAAGGTTTTGCACGGGACTCCAGCTAGTTGACATTAAAACACAACCAACTCACTGTCAAAAAAGTCCTCTGTAATGGCCAACTTCTCTGTATTGCTTCTGTTCCTTCCCCCCCTCCCCCCTTCCTTCCTTCAGAACTACAGGTTTGCAACCAGAGGTTTAATTTGTTTTTCTTAAAAAGTGGGTGCCATACCAAGGAGATTAATATTGAAACACAGAGCTAATCTTTTGGCAAATGACGTTTGAGAGTGCTTGTCGCAAGTACCCCCTCAGATTCACCTTGGTTCTTGTGAGACACAGGGTTGTTGCTGTTGTTGTTAGTTGCGAATTAATCTCATACCATCCCATTCTATTCTTAGCAATAGCAATAGCAGTTAGACTTATATACCGCTTCATAGGGCTTTCAGCCCTCTCTAAGCGGTTTACAGAGTCAGCGTATTGCCCCCAAC